AGGGGTGCATTGTCCCGGGGTGTAAACACTTATGCAAAGAGAGAATTGAAAAGTATTGGTATAGATGATGAAAAAAAATGAATGACTCTATCAATTGGATAACAAATTCTTTTGAAGTTCAATCCAGTTCCAAGTTCCACTTCAACCTGGGATGCAGAAAGCGGGAATGTCTCTGCTACACTAACAACACTCTAATTACTTTTATTGCTATTATTACCTTCAGCCCACCACAGGCTTCAAATTCTTTCTGCTTTGTGCTTAGCGTAGGGGCTGAGATGTGGAAGGGATTCCCTCAGTGTTCCTGCTTTTCATATCTGTACATGATGTCTTTCAGCAATTTTGGAAAATTCTCTGTTACTTTCTCTTTAAATACAGTGAAACCTGTGAGAGCCAGAACTCAACAGGACTGCCTTGTTTTTCCAGGTCTCACGAGTTTTCCGCCTTTGACAGGGTGCGGTCTTACCACTTTTGTATTGCTCTGTTAGAGAAATTTTTGCTTTTCCTTCTCTGACAGGTTTCTGCCTTACACAGGTTCCAGCTTTCACAGGTTTTACTGTATATCTTCTGCTCCCTTCTCTCTCTCTTCTCCTTTCAGGCCTCCAATTACTTGTATGCTAGACTAACTGATATTGTCCCAAATATCTTAGATTTTCTGTTTTTGTTTCTTCGCTTTCCTTCCTTTAGTTTTTCCATCTGGATGGTTGGTTACTATTGGCTTGTATTCGAGTTAGTGCTCCTTTTTTCTTCTGGTCCACTCTGCCAAAAGCCCATCAAATGAATTTTTCATGTCTGCATCATCTCTTTCATTTTTAGCGTTTAAATTGGTTTCTTTTTAATCGTTTCAATCTCTCTCTGCTGAAATTTCCCCATCTATTCACAAAGATCAATTTTTTTACTACATCCTTTAACTTATTTTTAACATATTTATCATAGTTTTTTGAAAGGCTCTAATAATTCCAACTGTTCCTTCTCCATTAATTTATTCAACTGTGTATTTTTATCAGTATACACTCATGGATATTTATTTTATTCTTTGGGTTATATTCCAAACTTATTATTTATTTTGTGGCTCAAATTGTTCCAACTTTTGTCTTTCAGGTTGGCATCTGTGCCATTTTGATATATCCCAATCCTTTTTTTTTTTTCCCCCTTTATTTCCTGACACCACAAGACGCTCCAAGCTCATCTTGTATTTTCCCTTGCCAAAGCATTGTAATCAACCACAATGGACAGAGCTTGGAAATATATGTAGGTGTACTAATTCACAGCTATCATAGGGATGGTGCCGGAGCAGGCTGCCTTTTGTTCCATTCTGCGTGGCGTCACCATGAGTCAGAGGCTGACTCAGTGGCAGCTAACAACAACAGCTAACCCGTGTCTGCATCTATCTGTATACTTGTTAAAAAAAAAATATGCGTTTATACCGATGACCCTAATTCCAATCAAATACCACAAGGCTCATTCTAATATACTGGTTTTTCTTATTTATAACTTCTTTTTTCCTAAAATATTCACTATTTGGCTTTTTACAGGGAAAGGTTTTTGACCCGATTTAGACCATTCAGATTTCACGTGATGACTATTCACACGTTGGATTAATACCTGCTACCCAATGGCTGTTTTCTGTTAGCTCCATTTCTTCTTTGTTGTTTTTTCCTCTTTCTCTGCTTTCTGTTGGGTTAATCGAGCATTCTTTATGA